ACAGTTGCTTTCCCACGTCTGCCTACATTAGCATGTTCTTCCCCATAACGTGCAGTGCCAATATTGCGGTCGTTGGCTCGTGTCATGATGGGGTCTTAGTTGTATGTTGCGAGCATGTGTATCGCCGGCCGTCTCTCGGGCAACTCATGTTGGCCCGGTGGTTCCGGTCGTTGTCGTCGTCGTCGTCGCCGTCGCCGTCGCCGTCGTCGTCGCCGTCGGTGTCCACCGTTGACCCCCATTTCTCTGATGGTGTAAATGACCTGTGCCATCCCCGTTGCTTGGACTTTTGTCTCTACGAGAACATATATTTGCCTCGTGGGGTGTGCGGTGTTGCGTGCCAAGCTCCGGTCCTCTCTTCTTTTCTCTTCGCTCTGCGCCGCCGCCGCCCCCTGCTCCGGTGCCGTGCTGTGCTGTTGCGGTGCCGTGCTGCGTCGTGCCGTGCCCCTGGGGCTGCGGTGGTGCTGCCGCGTCGTGCCATGTTGTGCTGCCCCCCGTCCTGTGCTCCACTGGACGTCCTTGTTTTATATTGTGGTGCTCATATGCTTCCGGCTTTCTGTCGTGCTGCCCCTGGCTGGCCGGGAGGGGGCGGTCGTCGTCGTTGCCGTTGTCATGTCAATGCCCCACGTGGTCAGCGTAGCTGGGTATGCCGACGTGCTGTCGCCGGTGACGTTGTCGCAGGTTGGGAGGATGTCGGCATTACCCTCGCACGCTCATGCCACTGCCGCTTTGTTGGGGCTCAAGGACAGAAAATGCCGAGGGACAGCAGTCGCTCCCGCTCCCGGGGGCGGGACCGCCGCCGCCGGCCTTCTCGGAGCCAGCGCAGCCCTGTCAGCCGCCATAGGCGCCGCGCTGACTCGTGGTCACCCAGCCGCCGCAGGCGCCGCGCTAGCCAGCGCAGCCCCAGTTCGAGCAGCCCGGTGCCATCTATTGCTCCGACGGAGAAGGCACCCGCTGAGGGCGGGGATGCTAGTGCAAGTGCTGACGTGGCTCACGCCCTCCTCCAGCGTCCCGCCTTAGATGGTCACCGGGCAGCGTCGTGGCCGGCTATTGCTCCCCCTGCCTTCTCTGCGCGCGCCCTCGCTTTGTTCCAACTGTTTAGGGAAGGGGTGCCTGTAGAGACGCGCGTGGCACAAGTCCGCTACGTTGCTGTAGCGATTTGCAGGGCGCACTTGGGGTAACCCGGGGTAGCGCGTACGGCTTGCGTTCTCTCCTCTCGCTGCTGCTGTTCTGCCTCCCTCCCCTCGCTCTCGCCAGCCTGTAGACCGCGCGCCGCTTTTGGGGTGCAAAGGGCGTGCACCGCGTCTAGCCCAGTTCTGGGTGTTTGGGTGGAAAGCCCTGCCCCCGCCTCCGTTTTTCTTTCCTCCGCCTCCTCTGCCTTGCACAACCTGGGGCGCCAGGGGTGTTCGCCGCACCTGGGCAGGGCCCGGTGGGTGGGGAGGGCCCCCGTCGTTGCCCAGGGGGTGGTGTGGGGTGGTAAGGTGGAGTCGGCCACCCGGCACGGGCTCATAGTGAGACGTGGGCGGCCAGGTCTCCGGTTGCCGCCGCCCGCTACGCGCCAGGACAGCCCCGCGCCTCGTGTCAGTGTGCCCTGCTTCGTTCCTCCCCTTTCCCCCCCTCGCCCCCTCGTCGTGCTTTTTCCTTGGGTGGCCTGACGGGGCCAGGCCAGTCCGCCCTGCTGGCCACAGGGCAATTTTGGTCGCGCTCGGGCCGTGCCTGCGGGGTCTTCTGCCCCCGTTTCCCGTCTCTTCGGGCCGTCTCACCGGGCTTCCGCCGGTCTGTTGTCATCGTGCTACCTCTGGGTTGCAATGGGCGTGCACGGCACTCCTTGGGCATTTTTTTTTTGTTGCCTCTCACCTTGTGGTCTAGGCGCTCGCCATGTCTAACCGTTGGCCCCAGGGCATGCGGGGGAGGGTGCGGAGCTCAGTCGCTTGCTGCTTCTGCTAGCTGTCTCCCCACGATGCCTGCACTTGCACCGCTGACCAGGCCCTGGGGCGATGCATGGGCGCCCCCGGTGTGAGCCGGGGCGCATGGGCGGCCCGGTCTGGTGATTACTCACACTCTTTGGGGGGCCAACGATGGGGAGTGAAAGACCTCCACCAAACCGGGGCCACCTAGCGGCTCTCTCCACTGCCCGCGGCGCCCAGGTGAGGGCTGAGTGAGCCGCCGCGGGGGCTGACGGCACGGCGCGGCGCGCCCGCAGACGCGGGCGCGGGCGCCGGGCCGGACGTCGCCGCAAGCGGCATAAAATAAAACGAAATGAAAACGCACCGCACGCACGGCACCGGCCAAGCACAAAAAAGAGCCAGCAACCCGTCATACGCGTGACCGCCCACACCCAGTAGTGCTTCCAAAAATATGGGGACGCCTCCCACCCCAGAAGATTCCAGTCCGGGGGAGACGGCCCCGGGCAGAGCTCAGCAAACGAGCGCTGCAGCGAAGGAAATACTACCGATGCTGCCTTTCTGAACGCTTGCTGGTCGTACTCGAGCAACGCCGGGCGGACGACCTGCCAGCGATACCACCCCAAGAGGGCTCTCCGCCGCTCGGGGTGACATCTCGCAGCCTCCAGCCGCTCCCCGACACAAGCTGGGTGCCTATCCAACATCGCCGGCGGCGACGGAAGGCGCCCTTCTAGTGCAGTCACAGCGGCGTCCCAGGATGGGACGTGCATGTTCCGTGAAGCCTGCCAGGCCCGGGGCGCCGGGTGGTCCAACGGGAGAACGGCGAGCCTGGCTTGGGAGAACGGCGAGCTTGGTTTGCGTCATGAAGGCACGCGCCAAAAACTCCGTACCCAGCCTCAGCGGCCCACCGAAATGGGCCACTACTACACTGTGACGGACAGGCGGGCCCGTGTGGCAGCCGAGGAGTTCGCGGCCCCGCTCAACCTGGAGGCGGTCCAGCGCTGCTTCAGCCCTTGCGGCTAGTGCCAGCAGTGGAGAGGAGTAAAGGATAACCAACTCCACGCGCGGAGCGACTTGCGCTGCGGTGACTGGGACAGAAGCCACCGCACTCGGCCGCCAGCAGTAAATCTTCAAAAAGGCCCCTGCCTCTCGCAAGTGTCTCTTGAAGCAGCGGCTGAAAGGTGAGGCCAGCGTCCACTAGGACGCCTAGAAGACGCTTTGTGGGCACAACTGGGGCCCCTGCAGAAAGAGGCGGTGGGGCACCCAGGAGGGGCAGGGCCGCCGTCTTACCCTTCTAGTAATTAAAGCGCGCCTTTACGCGCCGAGCGAAGCGGCTGCACAATTTAGCGCTCTCAGTGCGCCTTCGACTCGATAAAAACCGAGGACGGTTTTTTTATCCGTATATCTCGCAGTGCTGCGCCCTGGCGGATTTGGCTTGTTCCCCCCTCCCCCTCCTTGTCCTTCCTCCTCCTGTCGCCTCCTCCCCTTCTCTTCCCCCTTCTTTGTGGTAGTAACCAGGATCCTTTTCCTTTTCACGCGCAGCTTGACAATGAGCGCAGGCTTTGCCATTTATCGGCAGCCGTGGGCGTTTGCATTCAGGAGCGGCGCGATTGATGTTCATCCTCCCGCTGTGTCGACATTTGCTCGCTTGGAGTAGGGCTCCAAGAGCATGGAATGACCTTCACGATCCGCGTCACCCGAGTCCGGGGCCATTGCAGGTTTTTGCTCTCACGGCCTCACAGCCCTGAGGTCGTCTTCGTTCGGATAGCCCCCTTGAGGGGCAGCGGATTCCTCCTCCTCCCCCGCCTGTTTGCCGTGGAAAAAATGCCAGGCGGTCGCAGCTTTCGAGGGCCGCCGAGGACATGATTTCGACACCCTCTCTCTAGTGGTGCCGAGGAGTCTCAACTTTCTCCGGCAGGCACGCCTTCTGCGACGGTGTCCCCCCGTTCCATGTGTTTCGAGGTCTTGTTTGGTCAGGCTGAGCGGGCACGGCGGGAACACCTGAGTAGGGGGTCGACCTTCACCGAGTCTCGGGTCTTGCCTGCAAGAACGAGTCCGGGGGCCCTCCAACAGAGCTCCCCCTCGACACCAGTTTTGTTCAAAGTCTTGCGCATACTGGCATGCGCCAGACATGGGGATCGGCAGGGAATAGGCGGGGGTTTGGGGGGAAGGGCTTCGAGGACATCCGGTTTCTTTTCAATTGTTGAAGGGGTTTCTTTTGCCGAGTCGATCCGATCCCCCCTCTCCTGTACAGCTAACCCATTTGAGTGCGATTGCCCTCTCTCCACTCATGCTGTCTGGTGGTGCGGCTAGTTCTCCCGCGTACTGTTTTGACACAGGGCTCCAAACGTTGCTATACTCGACGTTTGTTTTTGGAACCTTCTCGGTCCTTCAAGCATGGTGCTACCGCTGCAACGTCGTTCACATGTCAGATTCGGCGCTTTTCTCCCGTCGTTCTCGTTGGCGCTCTCGCTTCAACGCGGGCCACACCTTTGGATCCGATTCGTTACTCGTTGTTGTCGTCCCGCCGTCCCCGTCCTTTTCCCTCCCCCGTCCCAAGGTCCTCTTGCTCCTCCTACTACCCACTCTTGCTCCTGCAGCTATATGCCACCCCCTGCCCTTTTTCCCAATGCACAAGGCCGTCCTCTTTGATTTTGCATCACTCGATGGGGTCACTTGGGGAACGGAAATCCTCAAGGACATCCTTGTCGGCGGATAAACAGGAATCTACCGCAACGGGACAACGTTGTATAGGATGTCGTACGTGGCGCGAGCGCACCCAGCTTGCCATCCTCTCCTCTCTCCTCCCTCCTCCCCCCCGCTGGGCGCGCCCACGCGGGGGAGGGAGGGGGGATCACCAGGAGACGGGGTGTGAAATCGAGAAGGAGGGCACAGAGGGCGAGGAGGAGGGCAAGGAGGGGAGGATGGGAGGGCGAGGAAGCGCGCGCGCAGAGGAAGAGGAGCAGGAGGGAGGAGCGCGCGCGGAGGAGGAGGAGGAGGAGGAGGAGCGGAGAGGGAGGAGGAGGAGGAGGAGGAGGAGGAGGAGGAGGAGGAGGTGGAGGAGAAGGAGGTGGAGGAGGACATGCATCCTCAGGTGGCATGCCCATGCTGCGGCGCGGCGTCGAACTGCTCGTCGTCTCGCTGGTCCTCCTGCCTGCGGCGCGGGGCCTCAAGGGCCCCACGCGGGCGCCCGCCGACGAGCCGAAGGTGACTCCGGAGGCGCGGTGGAGGACAGCCAACGCGTTGGCCCAGTTTTCGGGCGGCGGAGACCTGGAGGCTCCAAGGTCGAGGAACTGATACCGATGCCCTTGCCTCGTTCTCGCCTGCTTGGGCCCCACGTGGGCCCCCGCTGCCACGGCTGGATCTGCCTCGGAATCCTTCTCAGAACGCACCCCGGAAGAGGTCCGGCCAGTAGCAGCATTTGTATATTCTTGTTCCCGAAGGCCCCCGCGCAGACGCCGTGGGGTGGCGAGGGCGTCGCGAGCGCGGCAAAGGAGACCTTCGCGGTCGTGGTCAACACGTTCAGGAGGAATACGTGCTTGCAGAAGGTGGTAGAGAACTACATGGGCTGCAGAGGGATCGTGGACACCATCCGCGTGGTCTGGAACGACCCTGGGCGGGAGCCGCCAGCGTGGCTGTCCGCGCTCGAGGCCAAGACCGACGGCAACGTCGCCGACGTCGCCCCTCGCGTCGTCATCGACTACAACGAGGGCAGCAATCTCACGAATCGGTTCAAACCGCGGGCGTTCACCTCGGAGGCCGTATTCAGCCAGGACGACGACTTGTTCTATTCTTGCACGCTGTTGTCAGCCGGCTTCAAGGTCTTGGGTGGAAGATCTCTCGTTCGAGTTTGCACCCGCCCTGGTCGCTTCCTAGCTCCCCCCCGGGCAGCTCGGACCAATGATGATCCTGAGTTCATGTCTGGCGGGCGAGTCTGTCCACGTTCCGCACATTTCGCTGCTACCTTGGAAGCCGAGCGCAAGAACCGCTTAACGATAAACTTTCGGAGGCCCGTCAGGATTCTCGGGTCGGCGCTGGACGTGCCTCCACACTAGGCGCGAGGAGCGCGCGGGGGTGCCGCCCAGGGGTGCGTGGAGAGGGGGTCCAGCGCCGACCGCGGGAGTCCAGCGCGGACCGCTGACCTCAAGCCGGTGTTTGGTCCTCCAGGTCTGGCAGGCGTTCCCCCGCCAGCTTGTCGGCTTCGGGCCCAGGTGGGTGCCCTTCCAAGACCCTGGGCTGGAGAGCCGAAACGCCGAGGGGGCGCGCGCGGCCTGGACCTATGGCCGTGCCAACGTCGTTCTAGTGACGAAAGGCGGCTGGCTCCACCGGGACTATTACAAGGTCTCAGGGAAGAGAAACACCTACCTACCGATACTGATGCCCTTGTCTCGGTTTTGCTTTTGGGGCCTCCTGGGAGGTCGCCATGGCTGGATCCGCCTCGGACTCCTGCTCAGAACGCACCCTGGGGGAGGTCTGGGGAGACAGTGTGTTCGGTATCTCCTTGTTTCCCCAAAGGCCTTCTTCCAGCCGCGCCTGCAGAACCTGCGCGACCTCGTGGACCGCAACAGGACCGCCGAGGACATGTTAATGGCCCTGCTAGTCGCGAACCACACCGGCCTGCCCCCCGTGCCGCTGCTCGTGCCGTCACGCGGCCCGGACCTGCCCTCCTGGTGGCCCGAGTCGCCGTTCAAGGACTGGTTGCCCGGCCCGCCGGCGCAGTCGGCGGAGAAGCACCTCACGAACTTCGAGTTTCTCTGCGGGGGAGGCCTCACCGAGGGCGTCGGTAACTCTAACAGGCAGAGGGCAAACGTTTTCAGGGACCTGATGGAGGCGTTCGAATACTACCTGCCCAGCACCACGCAGTTTGTGGATCCGCTCAAAGGCTATTTTGGTGAGCCTGGGATGGCCAGTAGCACAGACGACAAGTACGTGCGCTTCAACCGCCTGAATTCGACAAAGACGGTGCTGCCCAGTGGCGAGCCCAGCACCTGCGCCACGTACGAGCAGTCCATCCGTGGGCATGTCGAGAAGTTGTCTCCTGAGGACGCATTCCTAGCGATGCTGGATCCCCTCAAGAAGCCGATGCTCGACGAGGAGCATGGCATGTGGCAGCCCGACGGCTGCAACCTGAGGCTCTACCGTCCGGCAGAGGCCTGCGACGTGCTGCAGCGGATGGGCCACAAGCGCGTGCTGTTCATAGGCGATAGCTTCATGCGCCAGTTCTACCTGGCCTTCCTGCAGACCCTGTTAGACGGGAACGCGGAAGGGCAGGTGCTCGCGCCGAAGCAGCCGTGGGCACCTTCGTCAGCCGAGGCCCGGGGTGATCTCTCCAAGTGCACCGCCGACGTCGTGGCGGTCGAGGTGGAGGGCGCGAAGTTCTGTCGTCACCAGTTCGCCCGAGACACACGGCAGCAGTTCGACGAGCAGCGCCAGAGCAGGCTGTGCGGCGGCCAGGTGGACCTCGAGTTCGTGTACGGAGGGGCGAACGGCTCAGTCGGGCTTCCTGGCGGAGAAGGAGGAGGAGGAGGAGGAGGAGGAGGAGGAGGAGGAGGAGGAGGAGGAGGAGAGGTAGGGGGAGGGGGATACGGGAAAGATAAGAAAAAGCACAGAGGAGGAGCTACTTGTGGGGAAGGTGGGGCAGAGCACTGGCACGGGCAGGACGTGGCGTAAGTATCCTGCATGCCGTATCGTGCCTCCCTGGCGCCACCCACCTCTGCCCGAGTCGGATCCCTCGGGCTAGCTTCAACATGAGGCTGGCCTGAGATGGAGATGAGGCTCAGGACTGCCTTGCTGCTGGAAGCCCCTGTAGCGCCGACGGGTACACGAAGTCTGGGGGCGGAGGGCCAGGAGTAGGCTGAGGAGGCAGAGGAGGAGGAGGAGGAGGAGGAGGAGGAGGAGGAGGAGGAGGAGGACCCAGGCAGATGAATCAGCACCGCCTTGATCACTCAATGCATCTCAATGCCAATCGCCTAGACCAGGTCGAAGCTGGGCTTCCTGTAAACCTCGGGACCAACGATCACACCCTGTGTGCTCAGGGGCCCGACCAAAAGCCTGGCCAATGCAGTAGGCAGCCTCGGGGAGGAGGATGCAGAGGAGGAGGAGGAGGGGGAGGAGGAGGAGGAGGAGGAGGAGGAGAAGGGGGAGGAGGAGGAGGAGGAGGAGGAGGAGGAGGAGGAGGAGGAGGAGGAGCAGGCGGAGGAGGATAATGGACGAAGGGAGGAAGGTAGGGAGGGAGGGATGGAGGGAAGAAGGATGGATCGTGATAGTGCTTATGATTATGATGATGAGGATGATGAGGGTGATGATGATCACTATGACGAATATAATGATGTTGGTGAGGTTGTTGATGATGGTGATGATAATGGTGATAATGGTGATGCTGACGATGATTATGATGATGACGATGGTGTTGTTGATGATGATGACGATGATGGTGGTGGTGATGACGATGATGAAGATGATGCTGATGGTGGTGATGGTGATGTTCATGATGAAATTGATGTTGATTATTATGATGATGCTGATGATGATGACGATGGTGCTTCTGATGATGATGCTAATGATGGTGACGACGAATATGAGGATTGTGATGACGATAATGGAGATGATGATGCTAATGATGATGCCGATGCTGATGCTGATGCTGATTATGGTGATGATCGATGATCATGGTGCTGATGTAGACAATGATGATGTTGATGGCATGGTGATGCTGCTGCTCACAATGCTGATGATGCTGCTGTTGATGCTGACGATCATGGTGCTGATGATGATGAAGATTTTGATGCTGCTGATGCTGATGCTGATGACGATGATGAAGATGGTAATTTTGATGATGATGATGACGATTGTGATACTGCCAATGCTTGGGGCGATGATGATCATGCTGATGGTGCTGATGATTGTTATGGCGATGATGGTGATGATGATGGTGATGATGATGATGATGATGATGGTGATGATGCTGATGCTGATGATGCTGATTATGGTGATGACGATGATTATAATGCTGGCGAATATGATGATGCTGATGCTGATGATGATGATGCTGATGATGATGTTGATGATGATGATGATGATGATGATGATGATGATGATGATGATGAAGCTGCTGATGATGCTGATGATGATGATGCTGATGCTGCTGATGAATATTGTGATGCTGTTGGTGATCATGCTGATGCTGATGATGACGATGATGATGATGACGACGATGATGATGATGATGATGATGATGCTGATGATGATGATGATTATGATGATGATGATGATGATGATGATGATGATGATGATGATGATGACGAGGACTACGATGATGATGCTGCTGATGATGCTGATGGTGATGGTTATGGTGGTGATGACTTTTCCTGGGCCCTGGAGTTCACAGCCAATCAGACAGATATCGATCTGTCCGAAAGAAAGAATGAGGGGCTCGTCGCAGGGAGTCATGACTCGGTATGCCTCGCGGGGGAGGCCCTGCTATAGGGTTGCTGGCACGGAGAGCGAGCCAGGCATTGCCGTGAAGCGAAAGCGGGTCGGGATGGTGGTGATGATCATGGGAGCAGCATAATTATGAGACGGAAGACAAGCAGGAGGTGGAAGAGAACGAGGAGGAGCAGCAGCAGGATGAGGATGAGGAAACCAGATAGAGAAGGGATGATGCTGATGCTCATGGTGATGTTTATGATGATGCCGGTGGTGGTGTAAGCGATGATGCCGAGGAGGAGGAGGAGGAAGTAAGCTGGAGAAGGGGTAATGGCCAGGAAGCTGGCGAGGATGCAACATGGGGGACAGACAACGATGACACGGAGGACCAAGATGATGATGATGTTGATGATGATGATGAGGAGGAGGAGGCCGAGAATGGGAAGATGGAGGATGGGGGAGGAGGAAGAGAAGGATGAGGGCGATGAGGATGAGAGGTACTGCTCGGGCTGATGATGATGAGCATGATGGTGATAATCCTGCTGCGGCTAACGATGATCATAATGGTGATGGTAACGATGATGCCCATGGAGATGAGGATGCGGACGGGGAAGGGGATGGGGATGGGGATACTGATAATAATGAAGATGATGAAGATGATGATGATGATGATGATGATGATGATGATGATGATGACGAAGATGATGATGACGAAGATGATGATGATTGTGATTATGATGATGGTGACGGTGATGGCGAGTGTGATGATGATGATGATGATGGTGATGGTGATGGTAATGATGATGCTGATGATTATGACGACGATGACGATGCTGATGGTAATGATGGTGATGGTGATGGTAGTGGTAATGGTGTGGTGATGCTGCTGATGATGATGATGCTGATGCTGATGCTGATGATGGTGATCATCATGATGATGGCGATGATGATGGTGACGATGGTGATGATGGTGATGGTGATGGTGATGCAGCTGATAGTGATGATATTGATGATGGTGATGAAGGTGTTAATTCTGATGATGATGCTGGTGATGATGATGATGATGATGATGCTGCTGATGATGACGGTACTGGTGATGATGATGCGGATGATGGCGTTGGTACGTATGATGATGATGGTGGTCATGGGGGTGAGGTTGTTGCTGATGAAGATTGTGATGACTGTGATGGTGATGATAATGGCGATGGTAATGATGATGAAGGTGATGATTACGATGACGATGTCGACTATAGTGATGATGCTGCTGATGATGATGACGATGCTGCTGACGATGCTGGTAATGATGATGCTGCCGATGATGCTGATGCCGATGATGATGACGATGCTGTTTCTGCTGATGATGTTGCCGATGCTGATGATGGTGTCGATGCTGCTGGGGGTGAAGGTGATGTTGCTGCTGGTGATGATGTGGATGTTGCTGCTAATGCTGTTCTTGTTGGTGTTGCTGCTGATGCTGCTGCTGATGATGATAATGGCTATGATGATGCTGTTGCTGATGATGATGCTGTTGTTCATCATGCGGATGATGATGATCCACTGAATCCCAGACTGTCGGGAGCTCTAGCTCGAAATGCTGCCCGAGCCCGAACGCTTCCATCGGCGCCTCGCCCGCAGCGAGGGCCTGCCAGCATCCAAATTGCAGCGTGAACTCGCCTGAGCCAAGCAGCGGCTGCCACAGCGAGATGCAGCCAGAGAGACGAAGCCCCTACAGGGAGAACATTGCCCTTCCCGCTGCTCGGAAACTGATCCTGAGTGTCGGCGAGAGCCTACCCCTGGTCCCACTCCGACTGGATGGCAGGGGGCACACGCCTGTCGCAGAAATGCCTAGCGCGAGAGACCTCGACATCAGCAGACTCGCCAGTGCACCGTGCTACAGTAAGAGCGGCCCTGGTTTGCAACGCTGTGAGCAGCAGCTCGGTTGTACCCCCTTGCCGCTCGGAGGGTGAACTTGGGCGGCGGCAGAAGCCTACGCCCCTGGGGCTGCCCCCCTGCGCTACCTGTCACAGGGTGCCGAAACTGCACGATGGCCATCGCCAGCGCTGCTTCGAAGCTTCATTAAGAGCGGCCCTGGGTTGCAACGCTACCAACCGCAGCACTGTTGCACCTCCTGGCCGCTCGGAGGATGAACCTAGACGTCAGCGAGGCTACACCCGTGGGTCCGCCTCCTGAAACCAGTTTGCCCCGCCAATGCCGCGCATGCATGCAGCGCTGCATTAACATAACGGTGCAGCTAGCAGAACCCTCACGACAACACGGCCAAGCCGAATCCATTTGCTATTCACACCGCTGGTGAGCCCGATTGCTGGCAAGCCGACGCTCCTGATTCCGATATGAATGTCAGTCAGCCACGTTGCCCCGATGTTGATCGGGATCTGACGCGCCTATGCAAGGGATGCGGCGTGTCGATGCTACCAGGGCCTGCCAGGCCACATCTCTTTTAAGGGCGTCCAAGATTGCCTGCTGCCGATTGCTGGGTGTTCCCCCGCGAGCCCCGCAAGCCGTACGCTTTGCGTCCAAGCACCGCATTTAGTGCAAACAAACATGGCCGCCTGCTCTCCACAAGCGGTGGGAGCTGGCGGGCGACGGCGACCACCGACCGAGGCGGCGGAGGGGGTGTTGCTTCATGATGACGATCCCCTTTATCTCCTCCATCGGCTCCGCTGCTGCTGCTGCCTGCTGCTGCTGCTGCACCTCGTTGCTCCCCGACGTTGCGCTCCTCGCTGGCCTCCGCTTGGTTGCTCATGAGGGCGGCGCCAGCTGCCAGCTGCCAGCATAATTGCTGCTGCTGCTGCACCCACCCCCACTGGCTTGAGGCGGGCCCGAGATGGGGCGACTCCATCCCGCATAGCTGCTGCACGACCGCCTCGCATGCTCGCCGAACTGGGTCCACGTGCCATGCCTGCCGCACGTTCTTCTCCACACGATTCCAACTTGCATTGTGCCCTCAATCTCAGCTTGCAACCCGCGTTCGAACATCAGATCGATGCCAAGCCTTCGCCACCGTGCCCATCTTCCGCCGTGAGCTCCGTGTTGCC